ATATATATATATATATATAAATAATTTTTAGCAATAAATTTTATATTCTATATATATTTCAATTTTCATAATACTTTAAAAATTAATTTTGACTTTTATATATATATTATATATATGTATATATATATTTATTTATTTATTTAATAGTCAACATTATTAGTATTTTGAAAATTTAAATATAGAATATAAAATGTATTGTTAAAAATTATAATATATATTATTATTATTATTTTGTTTTTTTCTGTATCCATGTATGTCATTAATGTCAAATATTAATACCGTCACAGCATACTGATACCGTACAAGAAAAATATGTTTGCCAACACTGGATTTCTATCGGCGCCATTTCGATAACTGCTTAGCTTGCACTTTTTCAATTTGGCATTTGACTTGCTTGTCGCGTGTACTGGTTATTCTTTACGGCTATGAATACGGACTCCAATTCTGGGTAAATATATATTAAAAGTGACAAAAGAGTTTAACCTAAGCAGATCATACTGAAATTTATGTTGTTACTTGTTATTCAGCTTGATAAAGCCAATAATTGGTAGCGTAGGCGTGGGCGTGGGCGTGGTGGCAATCTTATATAGAGCTTTTAAATCGACTGTCAAGCTTGATCAATATAAGGCACAGCTACCATTCGACAACGCTACATTATCAGCACTAATTAATGAGAACGGAAATCTAAGTGAAAATGAGCACGTCTTAAATAATATATGTGAGGATGGAGAATATACTTGTGTGATGCCACCATCTGAAAATGCGGGTCTTGATTTCTTGGCCACAAGCCTCAGAACTATAGATTTTAATACTGCACGCATTGTGGTTGTCTGTGATGTAGAAAATCAGGCAACAAAGGTATTGAAAGAATTGGGCAAACGCAGCATTGGTTGCCTCTTGGTAAATATGGCTTCCAAGGCGATTGACTCAGGTATTCTGTTATGGAACGACGGTGTAAGTAGTCGAATGGTTTAAATTATACGCATATGTCACAAAACATCAATGTGCTTCTTTTTCTGATAGCTCATCAACGCCGTCATGGTTGTAAGCGATGGAATGTTGAAGCATTTGTCAAAGACCGGCAATATAAAAGTTAACTTCCTGGTGCACTACACCCAGAAATTGCCGCATATCTTACAACAACGGTCGCAACTGCTGATTCCCCAGGCTGTTGAAGGGACAAAGGTGCTGGTGATCAAACCCAAATCCGACAATCAGGTACAGCATAAAACTGGTGAGCGAAAAATTGAGACCCCAGACGCCCGAAAACAAACAATTCCGACTGAAAGAGCCGCACAGAAAATACAAACTTCATCGGACTTCTTTTCATATATATCACGCTTCACCTGCAATCTGAAGACTGTGCTATATCCAGAATTTTCAAAGATTAGGATAAAAGAGGTCAATGCGCCGCATGTTTCAGATGAAGCAAGAACAGCAGATACGCTGTCCAAGTTAGGTGAAACACAGTCTACAGCTCCTGATCCTACAATTCCACAGAGTAAGATCGAAAAGGTCAATATGTTGTCTGGTTTAGATGGTTTAGATGGCTTAGATTGTACAGGTTCTAGAGGACCTTACACTTACCTCCATTATGAAACATTTACTTGGAGTCGCACTGCACAGTCTCCCTGTTATAGTGCGAATGATGTGCCTCATTATGATTCATATTTGAAGGAACGCCTGCGTCGCCTGAAAATTGGACAGACGCGGGCAAAGCGCGTACAGCGATATGTTTGGCCACATGCAGCTTCTGGTGGCTCCATGTGCGTAGTTGGGAATGAAAATACTGGCAAAACCTGGAGTTACTTGCCCACGGTGTGTCAGCACATTCTAGTGAAGTTACCGCCACGTCTACTGAATGATTTCGATTGCGGCCCCAACTGCATAATACTTTGCAAAGATGAGAAACAAGGGGATGATATCGCAAAGTTGTGTACGGACATGACAGGCACGGAGAGCGTGCGTTTGAAGCATGTTGTTAAAGCACTCACTCGCAACTCTATTGACGAGGCTGCCATTTCTATGAGAAAACCCTGCGGTGCTTTGATAACCACTGTTGAGCATCTACAGCAGTTGTATCTGCTCCACAGCGAAAAAAATCGCATCTTTAACCTGGATTCCTTAAAGTGCGTTACCTTCGATGGCATCGATAGCATCTGGCGTGGGGGCAGAATATATTGTCAGAAGATAATAAAATGGCTCTTGGACGCGCTGTCTTTTAAGAAGGGCAACAGCCAGTTGTTCATCGTTGGACGTTTGTGGATTGATATGTTTATGAAGCCACTGATAAAGGAATTGCCCGATCTTCTGCTCGTGTTCGAGGACGAACTGGAGGCGGCTTTGTTTGCCGGAATTGACTTTGAGTTTATCGTATCAAATAACTATAGGAATGATATAGTGCAAATTCTCGCCGAAAAGAAAATGATTAAGAGGCGCGTAGTGCTGGTGTGCAGTGGATATACAGACATAAATGAACTGAGCGAGTACCTCAGCTCCAAGAACATCGACAACACGGCTATTGAGCAATTCGATGAGCAAGCAGATGAGCTCTATAATAACTGGTGCACGAATCGTATGTGCCCGGTGCTCGTTGTCGCTGAGAATTCGATTGCTAAATGTCATGGCGGGTATATCGACTTTTTGGTTCACTACGGTTACAGTAGCTGGCCACTCTATAAGGGTCAGTACAGGCTATTCTATAACAACTATCGATGTGGAGTTGGCACATTCCCCGGCACATCGGTTGTAGTCATGCATCCTAATGAGCTTGAACGGGCTTGGCTAACTTGTGATTTTTTGCTCAAGCACAATCGCTATCCTCCCGAAAATATTCTGACAATGTTAACTGAATGCCAAATCGATGTCAAGGGCTTTCAGCCGCGTTCGGACAGGCCGCTCTGTCACATGTTCAAGTCCTATGGAAATTGCATACGGCGCTCGTGCCAATATCGGCATTTTTTGTTTGACTATGAAACGCAGCCGCGCAGCGATCCTATTTCCAAGGGCACAATCAAATTCTACGTGTTGTCAGTAAGTGAACAATTGGGTAATTTTCAACATATGTATATACTTATAATTCATTTATTTGTTACCCAACCAACAGAGCGTGAATCCGGCCAAGACCGCTGTGAGGCTAGTTGAAAAAGGATTCCTCAAATACTACCAGAACATTCCCGTTTCAGAATTTGGCGATAGGCTTCACTTGCACTATGAAAGCCTCATAAACCTTCCCCAGTGCACAAATCCCCAGATTGCCGATGTATGCGTGATGAAGATTAACGAACTCTACCAACGCGTGGCCATAACTCAATTGGTATCTGCAGATCGCATCGAGGTCAAGCAGCTGGATTCTGGCGTTGAATATTTGATGGTTACTAAAGATGAGCTGCTGATCTGCAATGAAGAGTTTAAAGACGTGCCCTTTGAAGCGTACGACCTACGCATCACTGGTCTAACGCCCTTCAACATGGAGCGCCTTTGGCCAGCTGACGCCATTAAGTTGGTGCGCCATAAATTCTTTAATATTCCGGCCCATCAGCATCGCATTTATACAGCCGATGTTCAGTTTGATTTTCATGATATAGTTTTCGTAGAAAACATCTACAACTCGAACGGCGAGGACCTGAAGAGTTTTATAGCTGCGGACATCCCGATGTACATGGACAACGGCGTGCATAGGCGTTTAATGAAAATGATTTCTTTGGCCAAACCCTCCGAAAAGGGGAATTAACAGCTAAGCTTAAGGCCCCTTTTTTCTAATACCATTAATACTCATTCTTATTAATATTCACACACATATTCTTATTAATATTCATCCAAAAATATTGAATTTATCGTATTACAGATTGTATTACATTTTTTTTTTTTCATTTTTTTTTTTTCAAAGAAAACCAAAACCTAAACTACATACATATATATTCATATTGTATTTTTAATGTTTGTACTAAAAAAAAGTGAATTTAAATAAAGAAAGAATGAAGTTTAAAAAAAAAATAAATAAAAATCCTAACTTGAAGCTGTCTTTTTTAAGCATACATATGTATGTAGGTACATATTTAGCTTAAAATTATAAAATTAAAATTTGTCCACCATAGGCAGCCATGTTTGCAACACATATGTACATATGTATGGATACATAGTTGCATATGTGTATATATATGTGAAGGTTAGATTTGAAAAAATGTGTACATATAAAATATCCGTTAGAAAGTCCCAAATAACTACCCCATAATTTCCCACAGTAACTATTTGTAATATCGATATTGTGTATCGATTAAGAGGCTGACCATTCTACTTAAATTCATGCATGCAAATATGTACGCAAAAGAACCGTTGTAATTTGATATCTGTGTATTAGTTTAGTGTTCATGGAAAAGTTAAGTTGATTATAATTGTGATCGCATGTTTCATTTAATTATCTCATTAATAAAATGCGTTTTTCCGATGAGGTTGGACATTACACATTATTTGCCAATGTTATTTGGTTTATGTTTTAAATCTACATACATATATCATTTTAGGTTAAGTGCCATATTTGCAAGCGAATCTTTTGCTGCGGCAAGTGCCGCCAAAAGCATCAATTCGAAGCTCACGCCATTGCCGTAACCCAGCCCATAGAGCAGCATTCTAAGATGGTTGGCCTTGGCAATGACATTGAGGCAAAGACCTCAACCATCTATGTCTTCTGTCCGATATGTGAACAAAAGCCGCTTATGCTGCGCAAAGAAATGTATGCCGAGCTGCTGGCCCACATCGAGAGTGTGCACCTGCCGCTGCGCTGTCGCAAGTGCTTGCGCCATTACACGAAGATCGATGACTTGAAAGAGTTTAGCAAATGTGTTGACTTGGGTCAGAATTGCAGCGCAGCCAGCACGGCGCAGAATGCGACCTACGACACGGAGGCCTCGAAGGTAACGGTGAAAAAGGCAACTGTGGCAGCCAATACTATATCAACACAGACTTCGCCCCACGTAGCTAAAGAGATGGACGAAACGCATCAGCATTTGAATTTAACGCCCATATCACTATTTAATCTACGCTGGAAGGCCAAAGGTCGCCTGACTCATGAGGAATTCATAAGCGACAGCGTTTCATCCATACGCAATCTGTCGTCAGAAAGTGTAAACTTGTCCGGACAACGTCGCAGCATCGGACAAGTGTGTGCGCAGCCAGACAGCGTGCACAATGATAAGAGCAAGGGCAAAGTCATACGCTCCACATCAACGCCACTGCAGGTCTACACAATGTTCGCCAAGCCCAAAGAGCCGTTAACATTTAACGCATCCAGTGTTGGGAGCGGCCAGGTGTCGAGCATTTATCACAGCGGCTATGCTCTGGATGAGCCAAATGCGGCGCCAGACAGTAGCCATGTAGTGCCGCCGCAACATCAGCGCACCTGGAAGGTCGGTGGTCGTGGCAAGATGAGTGCCGTGACGCCCTTGCGCCAAGTTATGTCCAAGAGCATACAGAAGGCCTTCGTGGAGCATGGCGCTGTGGGCATGCTCCCTGGCCAAACCGAGCAACAACGCATGCGGCTCGATTTGAACGAGGTCAACAGGTCACCAAATGCCGCCATGCCACTGGACTTGCGTCTATCCCCAGTAGTTCGACGCACGCAGAGCGACGACTCCAGCGGCAATGGGAATAGCGATAGCAACAGCAATACCAACAGCAACAGCAATAGCAACAGCAATAGCAGCAGTAGCGGCAGCGACAAAAACCATGGCCAGGACTCAAAGAGTCCAGAATCCTATCAGATACTGCTCTCCGCTCAGAAGCTAACAAGGGAGTCGATTATCATAACCCGCACACAGCATGCCGGGAACAGTGTTTCACTGATTGCCGCCGCTGCCGGCACCAGCACCACGAGCACAGTTTACAATTCCTGTGAGAGTGTGGAGATAATCACTTCGTCCACATCAACTGCCGAGCTGAGCACCAACTTACGGCCAGCCAAGGTCGACTGCCCCGTGGTGGTGCCGCCGATAACACCCATAACAAGCGTGCCCGGCGCCATCATCAACAAGAAGCTTATCAAGTTTGAGACGCCCCTGAAACCAAATATGCAAGCAACTCAAATGGCTAACTCGACGCCCGATGAAAAGGAAATCTTTTATACCCCCAATCCAAGCGACAGCCCGTTGGCTGCCATTGCTGGCAGCCCGACTGCTGGGCCCAGCACGAGTGAGCGACGTAGGCAGCAGATTGTGCCGCGACAGCTAAGCGGTCAATTTATGGCAGAGACAAAACGGGTTGAAATGTCACGACCACAAGGACCACGAGCTCGTCCGCCACTCCGTGTGTGCCATCATCAAAAGTCCTTCAGCTGCGTCCAGGATATCGGCAGTGACGACGAGGACGAGATTTTCTTGCCAAACAGCGCATCAACACAAAACGACAAGAAGCGGCAAGGACGTCTCTGGTCCCTGGTCTCATCTGTTATGCGGCTGCCACAGACCCTGCGACCGGATCCCAACAGCAACGCTGGCGATAAGGAAAACATCCCGTCTACTTCCAACGCGAATTCTAATTGTGGTTCCCTGATTAGACGCTGTGCCTCCATTGCTGGCTCATTGGTGCGCACAATTCAGTCCCATGACGACGCCGACATGCAGAGCTTAAAACGCAAACGAACCCAAACCCTGGACAACGCGAGTTGCACTCAAATGTCGCCGTCCAATTCCTCTAAACGATTGCGTATACAGCCAAGGAAGCCAATCGAACGCATGCGCAATAATTAGTCAATAAGTTACTTCATTTTAAATGTTTTGTCCTATGTTGATCTTGTCGCCTTTTTATAGCGTTTATTTTGTACGATGATGCGGAATGAGTTCCTAAAAATGTAAGCAAACAGTGCAAATAATTTAAGTCACTTTAAAATTATGCCACTTCTAATATCGCAATTGGTGTATCTTATAAGAAAAGTCGTTTAACAAATAAATTGCAATAGTGAAGCTGTTGATGTTTTATTACCGATGTTTTCGCTGATACCGAGCGAGCGCTGTTGAGCGAGGCATCGATGTTTTGCGAAATATCTGCGAATGTAGTTGAAAGCAACCATTTTAGTTTTTGGGAAGGTATGAAAAAAAAAAAAAATTTACTGTTGATGGCATTTTCTGAAAATGTGTTTTCGGCGGCTACTAAAATATTAGGCCAGAAAGGTATGCTGAGCGACTAAGCCTCTTTTTTTGCAGACCATTGACAAAAATTCTTTTTTAAATAATAATTCTGTTTAATTTTAATGAAATATATAAGATTGCTATGAAAGCATGCAATATTTCTCCCGCGTTAAATAAATGATGAAATTAAAAAGTCAAAGACAAATATTCGTTTCATAATCGAACGCGAAAGTTTTAAAATATCGGTCATAGAATTTTCAATCCGATGTATCAATCCAACATAGAGGCTTAATTTTGAAAACATTAATGGACATTCACTTCGATGTTTTCATTCAAATTGCCATCACTAGAGCGGCTGCTAATCGCTGTTCGACACCACTGACCAGAGAACACATAGACTAGACATGTAGAACAAATTTTTCTACACCT